GCTATCTCCTGCAAGGTATAATGCTGATTGTTCTCAAGTACCTTAATGTCCCGATTTAATCGTAATCAGCTTCAACTGATCTACCCAACAGTAGAGCATTGTCCAGCAAGAAATCTCCAGCATGAAACTTCACAAACCACTGTTGACATGTTTGATCAGTCACAGCACCCCCTCTATACACTGCACAAATATTTTTTGTGTTTGTTGCATTTTTACCTTTCTTGAAATAATAAAGCATAATACACAAAAAATGTTGCATATTTTTCTACCAATCTTAGTTTTTTTTAATGCATAGTGATATGACAGCTGTCACTACACAGTCTTACAAAATTGTTTCGAATGAAGTTAAAGACAACTAAGTGCTCAGAGAGCCATCATCCGAAAAAAAAAAAACAAAAACCAATTTTTGGACAACCCAATAACTGTCCAGGGAGCTCAAGAAATCAGTCCTAAATTAAGATTGCTGAAGTTTAAATGCACCCATTCACCCAGTAGGCATTATACTCTATAATGAACTCCTAACAACCTCATCAAGGATCTTTTTCTTTACTACCTTGTCCTGCTGGTCCTGATAATGAGCTACAAATGTACTGAAATTTAATGTAAAGTTCTTCCTTTATAAAGTTTATCTGCCACCACCTCCTTTAGTATCCACCGCACACACCCAAACACTCATATATTTCAGTGCTTAAGCAGCATGATGGCTGCTCAACGTGTTATGTAGCTTCTGTGTGGTGGACCTACAGGGGACTGAACTTAAAATTCTCTACTGACAAAAGAAATCAAGAAACCATAGTACTGGGTCTGAGTCACATGCGCTTCAAATTTCACTGAATCAATTCAAATGCATTTGTGGAATAAACATTTTACAAAATAGCACAATAATATGAGCTATTTTGTTAGGATTTTAATTGTTTAAAGTCAATAATTTCATCGCTACAAACATTCTCACCTCTTCAGTCCAGCAACAGACAGTAATTTGATATCCAAGGGACAATGAAAAAATCCTTGGCTTCGGGAAGACTCAAGTAATAGCAATAAATTTTAACAGCCAAGGACAACGTGGCTAAAAATCTGAGCAAAGAGTTTCAGGTCACTGCAAGGTGAGGATTAGTCACAAATAGTCTCTTCACACACAGGCCACTGAGCAAGGACATGCTTCATAAACACACACAAGCATCAAGAATTTTTCTTTCCACCAAGATGCTCTTTTTTTTCCTTGCTACAGAAACATAATCAAGATCTGAGACTTGAATTTCTAAAAGGGATACAATCTATGTGTGTTCCTAAATAAATGTAGTTTAAAAAAAAAAAACCACAATAAAACAAATGTATACGCTCAATGTTTTCCTACCAGAAAAAGAAACTCATTTGATATTAAACAGAAAACATTTCACAAAATTAAAATTATAAAGAAAATTAATGTTAAAATTATTAGTTTGCAAGAGTTAGTTTTACTTAGTAAGACAGTACAGATGACATACGCATTCAAATTTATCATTATTCTTCAACATTTTATTGTGCATACATACAGGCACCTTCATATAGTTAATCCACTTCATAAAACATCAGAAGTTATCGTTCTAACTACACCAAGAAGGACACATGCTCACAAATGTAAAGCAATTTGCCCAGGATTGATAATTGGCTCACAATGTACCACGTCTCTCCAAAGTTTATAATCTTTCTTTTCCACGCTGACTCCCAAAGCAGTTTTTCATATCCCTCAATTGTTCTATTTACACATTTTCCACTTTGGTTCAACAACTCAGTATCATGTGCTGGCACCACAATCACAGACTACTCAGGGCAACAAGGTGATTTGACCATGGTCTCAGAAGCTTCAGTCTGGGTAGCGGAAGGCTGAGATGACACTGAGGAGGACTCCTTCAGCCTTTGGGCAGCTCAACCTGAGGGGGTGCTCCCTGCCCCAGCCTGATTTCACCAATCTGGCCAACATAGCTACTGTGAGTCATGCAAGCTTTACACAAATCTCTTCCCGCTGCCTTTTTTAAGACGTAACAAATTATTGTTTAAAACCTTTTAAAATGTCATAAACAGGTCAGTTAAAAGAAACTGATTAATGAAAAGAAATGAAACCTATCAGGTCTGTCCTAACTACAGCACACCTCCTTGTAGAACAAGCATACTGCTCGGAAAGTGTGTCTATTTCTGTGTCAGACCTTGGCAGAAAAGCTGTTGCCAAGTTGTCTGTCTCCTGGTGAAAATAAATAAAAGCTAAACTCCGCAAACGAAGAATACTCTGTATCTTCCAGTAATTCTTCTATAAAATGTTTAGGAACATCCTTAACCCACAAACAGAAACCAAAAGGTAGCTGTATTTCTAAAAATCAGGTAAATGTGCTGTTTAATCTATCTGATTTAGAAAAAACACAAACCAAGAGGGGAACAAAGTACAACAAAACCATGTTAAAGAAAACCAGACTAACTCAGAATCTGTGAAAATCTGAACAGGGTCTGAATAAACTTTAAATATTAAAATTTCCCTGTATTTCCATGCTAAAACATAATTTTTCCCCGAGAAATTCAAATCTCACATATGATGCTGTTAAGTTTCAATTCCTCCTCCAATACCGACATTTTTTCCAACATACAAATATCTGCCGGACCAGTTGCTTCCCCCCCAAACCGCTAACACTCAACCAGATAAGCACAACCATTCCCCAGTTTCTTTGATCTCTGAGCTGCTAAGGGTTACAAATTCACACTGCCAGACTCACAACCAAGGGGCTCAGCTAAGATTAAGCATGAAATTCTAACAGATAGCTGTACTCTTTTAACCCCTAAGTCCTTGAAAAAGATCCACATTTTGATTCATAAAGAGAAAAACTAGTTTTATAATACATACTTTGTAGGAAAATAACCAATGATTTCTCATGATTAATGTGGTTATTCACAGTAACTATTACAAATGCAGCTGTGTTGTCAAGGAGTTTTTGTACATGTTTTCTAAATTAATATAAAAATTTGGAAAATATACATTTGAAAATTTTTACCAAAAACATCTTCAGTATGGTTATTGGCCTTAATTTTAATGTAAATTATATTTTACCAAGGAATACATACTACTAAACCATAGCAAAAAAAAAAAATTAAAGAGCACAGTCTAATCAAAAAAAGTATGTTTAAAATTATTTGAACCAAATAATATTTATGTAATTTCTGGGTAAGTCCAATAAGCACAGATAAGCACAACCAGATAAGCACAACCATTTTAAAAATTCTCAATTAATATATAAAGTTATACATAATCACGATCATACCACAAAGTTAACAGCACCATTTAAACTTAAAAGTTATCACTGTTAAAACAGGCCTTCAATATAATTCTTAATATAAACATTTCATTCCATTTCCTACATTAAGGTACTAAATTATCACAAAGTTAAAATCTTGAGACCAATAAATTTAATTTACCTAAGTGATTTTAATCCACAAAATTTTCAAAAGTCATGTTTCCAGACTGCCAAACAATTTGTACATATAAACAAACGTGCAATTTTAACAACAGCTACCACTGCCTGAGAATTGTCACTTGTCACGAGAAATGTCACAAAGGCACAGCACTTTCCTTGTGAACAACAGACGCCACATATTTCAGAATATCCACTTACCACTTCTTCCAGTGCAGCACTTCGCCCAAAAGAACAAGTGAGGTGTGTGAGGCAGTTCACGAAGGACGAGAAAAGTTCACTTGGAATGGCAGTTAAGACGTTTCGAGGGAACACAGTTATCAGGTTGCTGATAATGCTGGAGATCCCCACAGCTTCAGAATCTTCTATTTCAATTCTACAAACCAGGTAACAAGTGTTACTGGTGGTAAAAGGCAAGTTACAGTAACTCATTTCCTAACAGGCAAAAATTATCACCTATTCATTAATTATTAAAAGCATGTCCCTATATTAATTTCAAATTACTCATATAACTCAAAATATATAAAGGAGAAAATAAGCACTAGCTTCTTTCTTCTAAAGTAGCTGTTAGGCATAAATAAAAACCTAGAAGTTCCTTTTTTCAGTGACAAAGGGCAAGTATACCTACCCATTGATAGTACTCAGTAAACCCTCAATGAAGTGTGCTAGGTAGTCAACCTGTGCTCCTTCATCGGGGAAGACAGGTCCATGCAGAGAAGCTAACTGGGCGAGGCACTGCAGAGAATCTTGTGCCATATCCGAATCCTCTCTGATTTTTCGATGTACCTGTTAGAAAGAATTACTAATCCATAAAAATAAATTCTTCTTTTGTAAGGGTCACGTGTCTATCATGCCAAATGAGGTAAGAGAAAACTTCACAGTAGCTGGTTATTTCTAGAATATTAATTCCTGAATTAAACTAAATTTGAGAATGTTCCTCAGTCCACTTTACATTATAGGCCATGATTTTAAACATATTAATTAATTTTAACTGAAGGCTACCTACATTTTGAAAATTGAACTGTGTTCAGTATGCTATGACAAAGACAGAAACAGATGCCAGCCAGTGAGACGTACTGCTTCTTCTAAAAACAGCAACAACGACAGTCATCTGTATTATGCTAGCTATGCCTCGCTACAGCTCCTTGCTAAAGTTAGCAGGCAAGTTCAATTAGGAGTATACAGATGCTGCTTTAGTGGAAGTAAACAGTTGCACACAGAGAAAACTAATACACCGCTCAATCCCCAGACATCCATTCATTCAACTGATACAAAGCACTCTCTCAATAACTGAGATTGCCTAAAATTTGCTTCAATCTCATTTTATCCTACATCATTAATAAATGCTAAAATATTTTAAAATAAAAATGGTATTTAAATCTACTTTAAACTTCACCTAGGCTTTACTTCAGTGATGCAATACCGATGTGAAACACCTGGTACACAGTGTTCCTTATAAAGGAAGTACTCCCAAAATACTGCTCCCTAATTTTACATTGTTACTAATAATCTGATTTTAAAGATGCTTCCTTTCTGTGAGCTGACCTAATTAAAACAGCAAAGGAAAAAAGGAAAGAAATTGTGATAGTTATACAACATGTACTTGTGCAGGGGCCATGCTAATCTCTGTATCATTCCAATTTTAACATATGTGCTGTTGAAGCGAGCACTACTTGTGACCATTTCCTACCTTTCACAAGCATTTGAATCCTTTAGCCCTTCTTTTCCTACACAAATTTGTCTGCTTTCTCAATGTAACATAATTTTAAACATTTAATTCTCTATTTGTTCCAGGTTATGTTCACTTTAACTCTGTAAATCCTAATAATTACTTGTAGACAGACTGTTCCTGAAGCATTCACTGGTACAGTGCTGAGACACAATGAACAAACACTGAAAAAATCCTTATTCACCAGCTGATTCCATTAACCTTTAATCCCAGAACTTCAGGGGGACTAAGAAATTTAAAATACTAAAAAGTCACAAAATTAATTGATCTACTAACATGTTTAAAGTATGTTACCCTCTTCTGTCTACAACCACCACCCACAGATCAAATCTGGCCTCCAGCCCATTTTGTATGGCTGTGGTTTTTACATTTTTATGTGGCTGTGGGGGTGGGGGGAATCAAAGACTATTTCAAGACATGTAAAAACTATACAAATTCCACATTTTACAGCAGTTGATAAAGTCTTACTGGAACAATGCCTGCTTGTGGGGGGAGAAGGGAACTGTCTAAGCTTTTTCTGTATGACAATGACAGTGGCAGAGTACAGTTGCCCCCAACACCAGCACATCCTAATATTTTCAAGGGCCTTTTCAGAAGGAGTTTGCCAATCCCTGTCCAGAACAACATGAATAGTCTTCAAAATATAGTCTATACTTTAAGTTTTATATAGTAAGTTTAAAGTACAATACACAAATTCCTATATCCACATCTTCTAATTTATGAACTTTTTGAACACAATTCATTTGGAAGCTCCTTGTCTGAAAATTGTAACTAAATTTCTGTCACCATGCCCTTGCACCTAACAAACATTAAACATGATATCGATAGATACAGTGTATCAATGGATACAATGCATTCTGAGACAATAGTAGGTTTCTTCTCTGCCCAGAGAGCCAAATGTTGCTTGTTCTAGGTCTACAAGTGACAAATCACAAGAAAGAATACCTCTGATGAAAGAACATTTATTGTGCAATAACATACTGTCCTCAGAGCCTACCTATGCTACTCTCTGAAATATGAACCACATAAAACACACAATGAACCAATAATTCTTATATAATATAGTAGATTTATGCCCTTCTTCCAATGTCAGTATTAAACTGGGGGGGGGGGGCGGGGGATGGAGACAACTATACCTGAACAATTAAAAAAAAACTAAATTCATCACACAAATAGGGAAGAAGCAGAGAGATAAGGAAAAGCCAAGTCTAGTAGAACACCTAGAGAGGTGAATGGTGAGTCAGGATAAGGATGAAGACAAGGAGCAGAGAAAGCCAGTGAATGAGGTGATGACTTCTATGGAACACACTGACCCTGAGATGTCTGGAGGCCTTCCAAACCCAAACCTCCAGTAAGCACTGGGATTATAAGGCCCTGGACTCCGGAGCAGCCTGTGCTGAATATAGACCTAGGAGTCATCAGTGTAGAAGTGGTGCCTGAGGTCCTATGTGAGGAAGGGGCAGCCCAAGGAAAGTGTATGCAGTGAGCAAAGTTGAGAACTGACATAGGAACACTACTATTTATGCGAGGAGCAGAGAAAGAAGAAATCCTAAATGAGACCAGAAAGAATCTGACAAAAGAGATAGGAAGAATTAATAAGACGGTTTTTCTAATAGCTTACAGAGGAGAGAAAAATGGAGAAATCTGTGAACTTCGGAAGGGCAAATAACTACTTTAGGTTTAATACATTCCTAAAATCAGATAATCAATGTACTTCATCTTGATTCCATGCAACAGTATATTTATGTTTATCTACTCAATACAGAAATAGCAATATCTCATGGAAAACTGCTTTTAATTAGGTAATAAATTCATATAACTGAAAATCAACTTAACAAAAACTGAAATTTAAAAAAGATTAGTGGCTGTCATTTTTCTAACATAAAATTTAAATTGTTTATAAACTACTTAAATGAAAGTAAGAGGCCACAAACACAAAGTTGTTAAAATAACAAAGTGAAAAAGGGTTAACTTTGAAATTCAAAACTTATTTAAACGTGGTCTTTCACAGCTGACAGGAGCAGCTGTCTGGTTTGTGGAGACAGCTGTTCAGATTTGGGGCTGCCATTTCCAGGGCTGCCGGCAAGTTTTCCACCTTTGCACAAACTGCTGGAATGAGCAACACAAACAACTGAACTTGGATCCCTATCAAAACACTTTCTGCCAGATGAGGCAGACAACAGAATTTTTCAATTTAGCTATAATGACCTCTTTGATATTGACAGTGTTTTTATTCATTATTTCCGACTCAAAGAAAAAAGTAGAAGTAATGCTTACTCTGAACCTTTCCTCAGAAAACACCTTAATGTTTACATCCATGAAACACAGTTCTAACATTAGTAAATACTATTTTTAAAATCTGAAAAGGTAAGAAATTATAATTACTGTTTAGAATTAAGCAATATAGTCTTTTTTTAATTGATCTTTATTTGGACCTTTGCCCTAATCATTACATCATTACATCTAACTTATATGCTCACACTGTAACAGCACTCAGCCTCCAACACACACACACACACACACACACACACACACACACACACACACCTTTCCCCAGCTTCCGACTATTATATTGGAGTTGTGGGCAAACGTGGAACAGAATGCTTACTTCTTTACATTTAGCAAATAAGAAACAGCACTAGTTAAAGTTATAGTTCAAATAAAGTACATGCAATAACCCTAACTTCACCCATGTCTGATAATTCATACCTAAAAAGTACACTAATCTAGAACAGCAGTTCTCAAAATGTGGTCCAGGGATCCCTAAGGGTTCCTAGGACCCTGCCTGATTGTCTCGAAGAGCAAAACATTTTCCTACAATACTAAGACAGTATCTGTCTCTTCCATCCTTACTGTCACACATGTATACAAGTAGAGCTTCCCCAAGGCTATACATGGTATATAATACTACAACCAACTGAACACAGAGGCTGATGAGATCAGTTGCCTTATATTAAACCTGACATTAAAGAGATTTGCAAAAATGTACAATGCCACTCTTCTCACTAATTTTTTTGTTTTCGAAAAAAATAGCTATTTGTTAAAATGTTATGTCACGGTTTGGTATCATTATTTTTAAATGAGTTAATGATTTTGTGAAGTTCTTAGTTTGAATTTTTAATATGGCAAATGTTAATAGTTGTAACCCACGTAAACAAAAGCTCTTTAGAGTCCTCAATAATGTTTGAGAGTGTAAGGGGTCCTGAGACCAAAATGTTGGAGAACTTCACTAGGATATTAAGCCCTTCATAATTCTAGACACTTTCATAAATTAGCAAAAACATTTCTATGTAATTTCTGAGTGAGCAGATACATTAATTAGAAGGATTTACAGGACAAAAGCAATGTCTGCACTTTTACTTAAGAATAAGTACAGAAGCATGCACTCCTTTGGTGGCCCTTCCTGATGCCTTTGGTACTGAGAGGAAAGGTACAACTTACTGTAAAGAAAAGCTCCATGACTCTGCTATCCAGAAGGGTCTCCCGCCAGGACTCTGTTGGCTTTAACAAAACATTTTGTGAGGATTCAAACATGGCTATATAATGTCTGCCCAGTTATCTGGTGTCAAGGTCAACAACAATAACATTCTTACTTTGTCTAAAGTATAAATACACCCTAAATATAACAGGAGCCATCCAGAAAGAATGTAATGGAAACAGTTTAAGCCTCTTCACATATGCTACATAATTCATGCATGAAGCTTAGGAATAAAAGGCATTAAGTGCTGAAAAAAAGAATGCTATAGGAATGTAAGGTAACTGTCATTATGATATGGCACACTGTAGGAATACAGAAACTTTGATGATCAGAGATTTTAATGGTGGTGACAGAAGGATGAACATTCATGCAAAACAGATGCCAAAATATACACCAAACAAGAGAAATCAATTTCTGCATGTTTATCCTGTCATTCCCCGCCAATATCTTGTATTAGCTGAAACCACAAATACAAATATGAGTATGAGTCTCACACAGTCTACCTGGAAAAATAGCATTTCCTCAAAAGAAATGTATTCAAGAACAAACATACATCACATGGAAGAAGAAAAACCTCCCATAAGAGTAACCAAATATCAATTCCATACAAAGAAATGTTTAGTTCACATAAAAATCTATCGATGCTCATTTAAAAACCTAGCAGACTAAAAGTCAACTTCTATGGTGTTCAGGAGTTCCACATCAAACATACTTCCAGCATGTGCCATGACAAAGTAATTAACCCCTTGAGCTAAAGCCAACCCTCAAATATGCTTCTAAAAGAACACTGTCTTTAGCATACATGTAACTATAATATATTTCTAAGAGTTTACGAGCACAATTCACTCAATGACAGTGACACGGTAACCAAAGTCTTTCAGAACTGGGAAAGCTTGAGGGCCTAAGACAGTAAGTCTGCCCATCCCACAGCTCACTGAACGCTCAGCTGACGTACATCCACTAGGCTACACCCTATCAATTCATGAGAAACTGAAACAGGTTATTCAAAACCGCATCTTGCAAAACATAAATATTAAAACCCAAATCATTAACAGAAAAACAATAAAGGCAGTGATAATGCTTTGGAAACCATTTTTTAAATTTTACTACTTAAACCCCTTTTTAAATCTCTGATGTTATTCTGTGTCTGAAGAACGGGGGTGGGGAGCTGCTAGTTGTTTCAAAAGACAATCTGCTGGCTGGACTCTGAAAAATCACTCCACTCAACGGATAAATAAAAATGAGACTCAAACCAGGTCCATCTCAGTTCCAATTTCCTTCCTTCACCTGCCCCCTTGTGGAGGTAGAGGGAAAGTCCAAAGCCAAAAGAAAAACGGTAGGAACTCAATAAAGCAAGCCTGAATTTAAAAAGAGAAAAGAAATCAGCCCATGAATACTATTTTTTTTTCAGCGTGCTAATAGTTTCTAAGATGATCTCATGTTTTCACTAGATACCTAAGGTT